TATATCTAAGTATCTAAAATAGTTACTTTAGAGACAGAAGCATTCTTTTCTTTTTCAAAAAGAAAGATTGAGTCATTTAATAGTGATTGAAATGGTATTGAAACTTATTTTTCCATTGGTTCACACATTTATGAGAAAGTATTGGAGCTAAGACTGAAGCTTGTTAATTATGGAAGGTGCAGGAAAATAGCAAGCCTGCAAATAGCCTTGTATGTTCTACTCTGCCCTTGTGTGCCATCACTGTCACCTTGAGGTCAGAACCATGTCCAAAGTTGGTGTAGACTGTGTTCCTGACAACAGCAGGGTTGTAATGGAAACTGTCTTTACTCCCGAAGTTATGGGCCTGATACTGTGAATCCCACACAAGCAGTGGGTCTACCTGCCCCCATTTGTGCCCATTTTATTCTCAGGATCTGTATCCTTTGCCCTTGGTCTTTTTCTACAGGATTTAGATGAGTGTCAGACCCTTGGAATGCTACACAATAGTGACCTTGATTCTCTGACTTTGCTGGGGGAAAAATTGAGTTTAAATCTAGATTGAAATTATATGCAATGCTATGGTAGTCAGGTCATTTCTGATACAGAAGAAGACTTCACTTGCCATTAGAGATATCTGCTTTTTGATTTGGCTCAGGCTTTCTGGTTTTAAGGGTAGCTATACATTTACAGAAGATGAATGCTTGCTTTTTTTTTTTTGTAGTTGCCTTGCTTTTGATACATGGAGAAAGTTGGGTAATTCTTTCTTAGTATTAATTTCCCAGATATTATTTATAAAGGTTTATCATTCTTATTGTCAAAATACAACCCTTTCTTTCAGGGGTGAAAAACCCCAAGCACTGTTTGGGAAAAAAATACTAGAATAAAGATGGCGGGATGGTTAGTGTTTGATGGATGAACAAGTGGAAAGAGGGTGTAATTCGGAACCAAGAGGCACTACCCCATGGCTGGTCCTGAGCTCCTTTGGGGGCAAAGCAGTCTTTAATTACATCTGGTACTCATTAATTCTTTTTGGAGTCTCTTTCCAGATCTGTTCCCCCATCAGCCTCCCATCGAGCAACAGAAATTCCAGATGGTTCCCTCCATATGCCAGTGCTCATTTTCTTAAGTAGGATAGATTGGTCACTGACAGAGCAGGATGTAGGAGTATTGGCCAAGTCAAGCCAAGGTGAAAAGCATTGGGCCACAGTTACATTAGAGATGATCCATCATTCATGTTTCTAAATGTGTTGTTTGTATAACTGCTTCTAAATGTCTTCTCTGAAACACCTTGAGTAATTTTCTGGAAAGCATGGTACTTCTAGACAATGTAGCATATTGGTCCTAACTGTCTACACCTGGAACAGAGAGAGATCCTCTAGAAGCTGTCATTATAGCTGAGAGTCATTTTGGACCTGATCTGCTCTGGAGCCTACTTTAGCATGATTTTTTTTTTTGTCTGCATGAACTGCAATGCCAACTGTCATGTCTGTTATTGTAATGCAAACAGAATTAATTGATATAAGTCTTTATAAGTCATAGGTTTATTTCATTTTTTGCAGAATTTTGTTGTAATAATCACATGGACAGACTTTCCATTTTGAAGTTTTGAGAATGAAGATGAGGTCAGTCTCCATATAATAAAAAATATGTTATTTCAAGTATATTACCTTGTATTTATTTATGTCTTCATCTGATGATGGGAAACATGTCTGACTCATCTTTGAATCTCACCACTCAGCAATATGTGGCACATATTGAGGAAGGAAAGGAAGCAAGAAAAAAGTGTGACGAGATGGATCCAGGAAATTTCAAAGTGCAGTTGGCATTGAAAGAAATAAGAATAGTGTTTCTACTCTTGTCTTCATCTTATTCTTTTCTTCTAATGGCTGTTGGATTTTACATGTACGTGTGTGTGTGTGTGTGTGTGTGTGTGTGTGTGTGTTCGCTCTTTGGTGTTATTTTTTGAGCACCTACCAAAGTCTGGGTATTGTTCTATGTGCTCAGCAACTCAATGTGACAGTGACAGGTGTAGTCTGTGTTCTCATAGAGCTTGTAATAGTTAGGCTAACTGTGCTTTGTGGGCAATTTATTGGTATATTTGGAAGGTAAGACAATTAGGAAAAATGTCTTCTAAGGGGAAATGTGATAAAGTCCAAAGGGGAAGTTTTAAATTCCATGTAATTGTCACATTTTAACTGAAAGGTATATTCAAAAGAAGCCTAATATCATCTTTTGTGTGTGTGTGTGTGTGTGTGTGTGTATTTTTTGTGGATGAGAGAAAACATTTATTGAAGAAGTACAATCAGGTTCAATAGTCAAACATTGGTAGAATGGGCCACAGATTGGAAGAGACAAAGGTTATTTGTATCGAACTCTTATATTTAAATGTGTCTGCTTGAAGTAATTTCTGTCTTGCTTTTGAAGTCACATTAAAGTTATGAACTTACAAAATATATCTGAAACCTATAACATTCTCTAGATATTTCACTCTTTTGTTTGAATGTGTGAAAAGGAGCAGATGTGAAATTGAAATACATACGTATTTTCATCTGTTTAGTCTGATTATTCATTTTACATCAGTCACTGATAAACTCTGGAAATTTAAGGTGTATAGGGAACTCAGCAGATCTGAGCAACATTTATGGCACAGCTTTTTTTTTTTTTTTTTTATGGCACAGCTTTATCTTTGATGTCATAAGAAGCACTATGGATTTCTTAAAAAGGGTGTTGACTTCTCCTAAGGAATAACAGTGGGAGAGAAAGACATAATTATGTTGAGGATCAGCCCAGTGACAGCTCCTTCCTTATAAGCAATAATCATGTAATTATCATAATTTTTTCTTTAATGCTGTGTGTTATAAGAAGGTCCAGGGTATCACTAGAGAGTGAAAGAGAGACATTTCCACAGAGGCGTGGTGGATCCAATGTGGAGACTTACTAGCAGATCTAAAACTTTGTTGCTTCCGATGGATGAGTGTATGGTGCAGATGCTGTTGGATCATCCTCACATCCTGAGAACCAGCATTCTACTGTTTAACTGAGACACGAGGGGAGGGAGGTATGTTCAGGAGAATTTAGGGATCAGGTCTAGAGATGTCACACTTCAACTCTGCCTGCACTTTATTGGCTACCCTGAGTCACATGTCTTCATTTAATTGCAGAGTAGTGTGGAAAAAGTAGACTAACTATGAACCCAGGAATAAAAGGGAAACGGTTGGTTTACAACCCTGCAGTGTCTGCCATAGGAAGGTGTGGTAGTCTTATCCCTTGGACAGAAGCAGGGATCAGAGAAGACAACTCCTGAGAAGTCAATTTGGGGGTGGCAGGGCCTTAAGAACAACAGGCTGCATTGTTTTCTGGAATCAGATGTGAGATTATGTTTAAAAATCTCACAATGAGGTAACATTACACGCCAATCAGGATGGCTGCTATCCAAAAGTCTACAAGCAATAAATGCTGGAGAGGGTGTGGAGAAAAGGGAACCCTCTTACACTGTTGAAAAAATCACAGATATGTACACCTAATTGAATTACTTTGCTGTATACCAGAATCTAACACAAGACTGTAAATCAACTATATTTCATTAAAATAAATTTCAGAAAATCTCTTCAAAATCTTTGCATGTGTCAGTGATTATGGTATTAAGATGTAAACAGAAACGCTTATTTGATATCTTCAATTTGGGTTGAATTACTACTGAATTTCAGAAATTAACACTTACTACTTTGGCACACATGAAGCAATTATTGTTTTAAAAGCAGATTTTTATTCATGTATTACTCTATTGTCACTTTCAAGCAAAAACCAATGTTTCTTTCCCCTGAAGTTATATGGAAACTACTTTTAGAAAGGTGAGATGAAGAATAATAGTTTCAAGTTGCCCCATGAACTCTGTGAGTTCATCCAGCTAATGAAAACAATACAAATAATGAATATATTAAGCTTTTACTAAGCATGTAACAGGCACTTGGCTTTCTTGGTGGGACTGGGGGACTGAGATTGTCTTACTAATACTCTTCAGCACTTTATATCTATTGATTCATTTAATCTTAACAAACATCCTATGAATGCAGAGATATTTTTATTATCATTCTCATTTTATAGATTAGAAAACTGAGACACTGAGGAGTAAATTGTTGGTCTACGCAGCTAGTCCATAGCAGCTTATTCAGAGCCAGATAGTCTGACTTTAGAGGTCAAGGTCAGAAAATGTGGTTGTCTACCTTTCAAACACAAGAGCCTAGGGAGGGGCAGGGACAAAGGATGTGGAGCTTATCTGGACATTTGCATTAAAGCAGGCTTGGGGTAGTGTCAGGGGACGTTTGACTTTACGGAATCCAATATGTTGCCATTTCTCAAGGATTCTCTGTTCCTCATCAGTTCCTATTCCGGGAACAAGTGAAACAGCATGCTGTTCCCAGGACTGAGGTCATAGGATGAGACATGTATGAATCCCCTTCAGTGACTCTTTTCAGCGTCAGTGACCTTGTATGTATTAGACTATCCATATTGTGGCTCTTGATAAAATTTCATCCTGTGTAATAGCTGAGTAATCATCTTACTAAAGATATATAAGCCTGCATTTCTGCTAATAAAGCACCCTTGCTCCATCAGAGCTTGTGTCCCCGTGTCTTTCTCTCTCTCTTTCTCTTTCTCTCCCTCTCCCTCCCCCCGGCTCTCTCTCTCACTTTCTCATCGTTGACTCTGGACCACCAGGTTCCGGTCCATTAAAGGATGCCAACAGGGCAGGGTTAGAGTCATCAGCAATGCCTTTGGCCATGACCCTTGGTTTGCAAAGCAGTGGAGGAATGTATTCATGACACCTTCTCTTTTCCTCTGTCTCTTCATGAAAGCCTAGCCTTTGCAAACACTTTGTTCTTCCACTTTCTGCCCCTGACCTGGCCCAAGCAGCAATGCAAGCAATTCCTGAGCTGCCTGGAGAACCCAGTATAAGTCACTGGAGGAGAGGAGGCAATTCTTGTCTTGGTTACATGTCTGAGCAATTTCTTTTCCTTCTGCAGACAGGACTATCCTTGTGGATACTGATCTTCCGCCCCTCCGAGGCCTCTACGTGATGGGGACTCTGGAATTCCCTGTGGACAGAAGCAACGTTCTAAGCATGGCCTGCATGCTCATTGCTGGTGGGGAGCTGAGAGTTGGTGAGTCAAGGGCAACAGGACTGGGAGCAGAGAGAGGCCTTGGGAGAGGATAGTATCTCTATCAGGTTGCTTAAGGGGGTCTGGGGAATACTGAGGCAAGGAGGAAGTTTACTAGCCAAAGTTCTCCCCAGCCAGCTTTGGACACAGACAGAGGTGACATTTGTTGGTCACTCCTGTCCACCCACTGTATGCAGTCATCTGGCCCCAGGGTCCTCACGCTCATTGCAGGGCTTTTTTTGCCTCCACCAGGCCACACATCAATTCTCCATTTAGTTCTCTGAGTGAGAATTTACCCATGGCTTACTCTTCCAGAAGATCTTTTAGGATGGATTGGTTAGCCCTTGATCAACCAACCCAGAAGAGAATTTCAGTTGCTATTGTAGTGCATATCCTTCAGAGAACAGACCTAGGAGCCAAGCTGATGTGTTCATCCTGGGACAGTAGAGAGAAAAACCTCGGGGAGAAGGCAAGCAACTCACTTGTCTCCCACTGCCCCACAAACCCATGAACTCTTCTGTCTAGTTATGTTTTATGACTCCCTAGGAAGCTGATGGAAGGGCCAGAGATGCAGTGGAGCTAGGAGATGAGGGTCCTCCCCCCTGGGAATTGAGGGATGGTGCAGGAGAAGTGGATCTGGGGTGATGAGTTAACCAGGTCTGATACAATGAGAGTGTGAAAATGTTAGACACTCAGTCGTGTCTGACTCTTTGCAACCCCATGAACTGTAGCCCACCAGGTTCCTCTGTCCATGGATTCTCCAGGCAAGAATACTGGAGTGGGTAGCCAACTTAAAAACATGAGTTGTCTATTTTGTATACAGTATAATGTAGTAATATGTATATATCAGTCCCAATCTCCCAATTTATTCCTGCATCTTATCACCTGGTAACCATGTCTATTTTCTATATCCATGACTCCTGTTTTGTAAATCAGTTCATTTGTGCTTTTTTTTTTTTAAGATTTCACATATAAGGGTGGACATATGCACATTACTATGTATAAAATAGTAACTAGTAAGAATCTGCTGTGTAGCACAGAGAATTCTATGCAATACTTTGTAATGGCCCAGGTGAGAAAAGAATCTAAAAGAAGGAGTTCATTATTTGAATGAGAGATAGAGGCAGATGCATGGAGTTGGTTGTCAGAGAGCAGCACTAAGTTGTGTGTGGCTGGGACGCACTCAGTACTGGAAGGGCCTCTGGGAATACCCAGATTTCACTCTCTGTCCTCGCTCGTCTCCGCTCCTGCTACAGTTTAGTCAAACCTAACCTGAACTCCGAGTCAAGGAGGGCTCACTGGTGTCCTGTGTGTGGGTCAGCTGCATCCCAGGGCAGTGAGCTGCGGAGGGCAGTGTTTGGGAGTGAGGTTTGAATGCTCTCCATCGCATTCACTGGTGGAGAATGGCTCTTCTGTTAAAGCAGCCAAAGATTCAGCTTTATCCAGCTTCATTATGCCAACTGCATTGTCACCTCTAATTCCTACTCTTTCTACATGTACTACCTCAAATACAGATCTCTGTGTTATACACTTGCATAAGAATTGTTTTGTTTTCACCTGGGTTTTAAGGAGACGCAAGCACAAGATTTTTTACTCATCTCTATTTCAATCCATCTTTCCACAGTGAGGAAATTCTTTTGGCTCCTGATCTTTTTCATCCCAGATTGATGTCACTTGCTCATTGGTTTAATATTCTGTATCCTCATCCAGTTAACTGATTGAAATATTAAATAAAACTGAGCCTTGTTCCTGTTACTGGAAAACTTATTTTAGGTTGACATCCTCTGTTGCTAAGAGAGGTCTTTTTTCATAGGATTTTTTAGGTTTCTGAAGTCACTTATTACTGCAATTCAAACTTGCTGCCTGGAAATTTGTACCTTAGAAGAGAAATAACGCAGTGGCACTTTCCAGTTTTGACTTACACATTTCAAATCCTATTTTTAATTCTGTCCACTCCCAACTACACTTTCATCTGTTGCTAGACAATGGCATGTTCATTTTCTCTCTGCTTGTCCATGTGTTCCAGGCCTAAAGGTTGATTATCCAAAAGGAACCCATCTGCCCAATCCTGTGTGTATGATGCCTGAAGGGAGACTTTCAACCCATCTGTCCCAATCTACCACACCCTAAAGAAATCCCAACATGAAATAGATAATAAGACTAGTTAGCAAAGAAACCTAATAGATGTGGGCATTGGCACAGAGCACTGCCAGAGACTGTATGCTATCTGATGCCATTTGATCCAAGTCCCAGCACCATGGAATTATATTTCTTGGTGGTCCTGCTTTTAAGGCAACTGGTGCTGGCAAAAGGTACCAATTGACTTTTAGTAGGGTGGAATCATAATCCTAGCATTAGACGGGAAGTTTAAGATCAAAGCTCCGCTTCGAGGGCTACAGCTGCATCACAAATGCCAAACTCAATTCCATTCTCTGTTCAGTGGTTGTCTCGTTAGTCTGATAAAACACTTAAGATAAGCTGAAAGTATTTCACTTGTTTTTCCATCCTATCATTCATCATGATTTTTGCTCACTGTCTACCACATGCCAAGTTCCACGAGAGAGCTTGGATGTACAGACATAGAAGTCATGAACCTGGCTTTCAAGAGCTGTGTCAATAAAGCGGCAGAGACAAACAAACAAAATCATAACTGAAAGTGTCACCTCTTCCAACGTGGAGAAGGATTAAAGATAAAAGAAGAGATCTGAAAAGACACATATTTGTGGACAAGCATTATACCTTCAGGAAATTGCAGAAAACGGGTATGTCTGGCTTGTAGGATTTATAAAACGGTGGTAGCTGATGAAGCTTCTTGGCCTTATGCATTATGTTAAGGAGTTCGGGTTTTCTCATGAAGACAGTGCCCTGTCACTGGATATTTTTAAGCAGGGAAGTGACATTATTAGATCCAGTCTTAGAGCCATCACTTTTGGCAATGCAGGGGCTGTACTGGAAGGGGCACAGTGAAAAGTGAGAAGGCTCTAAGGTGTTTCAGAAAAGAAACTGTAAAAGATTGAGTGAAGACACTGGAGCTAAAGAGGAAGAATGAATTAGGGAAGTACTGAGGAGGTAAAAAATTTCTAGAATCGAGTGGCAATTTTGATGTGAGGTGAGGAGATGATACTTCCTAGGTTTCAGGTTGGGAGATCTGGGTCCGTGGCAAGGCTAGGACAAAACCTCCCTCCCACTACTTTTTAGTTGAGTGTGTGTGCCAAGTCACTTCAATCATGTCCAACTCTTTGTGACCCTATGAATTGTAGACAACCAGGCTCCTCTATCCATGGGATTTTCCAGGCCAGAATACTTGTGTGGGTTGCTGTGTCCTTCTCCAAGGGATCTTCCTGACCCAGGGATAGAGCCTGTGTCTCTTATGTCTCCTGCATTGGCAGGTGGGTTCTTTACCACTGGTGCCACCTGATTAGTTAAGTGACTCTGGCAAATTACATGAGCTATTTCTGCCTCAGTTTTCTTATCTCTAAAATAGGAACAATAATAATCATGCTTATTTTATCGAGTTTTATAGGAACTGAGTAAATCAATGGGGTCACAAAGAGTTGGACATGGCTTAGCAACTGAACAACAACAACAACAACGACAATAGTTATTTATTAAAGGCTTCTTTGGTGGAAGTGCTTGAACAGTGTCAGGCACCTAATAAACCTTTAGACACAAATGTCAAGTTTAGGTTTCAGTGGGATGTGTAAGTGGTAATATATAGAGGGCAAATAGATTAATGAGAAAGCACAGAAGAGAGGACTGTGCTAAATATATATATATTGAGGGCCATCAGCCAAAAATATGAAATCAAAGCTGTGAGATAGAGAAGGCTTTTAAGGGTAATGGAGGAAGCTGGGATCAGGAAAGAGAAAGGAAAATAAACAGCTATAAAGATAGATGGACAGTGACAAGAAAATGATGTCTTGAAACAAAAGGAGAGATTTGCAAGAAAGAGGGAGTGGTTAGTAGTGTGAGATACAGCAGAAAGAATAAAATCAGGAAAGTAAATTGACCCTCTTATTCTGGCTTTTAACTTTTTTGTTTTTGTTGTTTAGTCACTCAGTTGTGTCTGACTCTTTTGCAACCCCACAGACTGTGGCTTGCCAGGCTCCGTGGGATTTCCCAGGCAAGAAAACTGCAGTGCATTGCCATTTCCTTCTCCAGGGGATCTGCGTAACCTAGGGACTGAACCTGCATCTCCTGCATTGGCAGTCGTATTCTTTATCTGCCACCAGGGAAGCCCTTTATTTTTTTTTTGCAATGGCTGTCAAATATACTTTTGACACAAAATGCTACTTTGCATGTTGAACAAAGAAAGAATTTCCTGAAGGACAGTAACTTCTAATAAGTTTAATGCCACTTATCTATTCTTTAACAACTTCATGTTTTGGCTTAAAATATAGTCTTAAGTACGAACAGATTCAATCTCATATTTGAAAATGAACAGTTGTCTCTATTGAGTGATGTCATCAAACTTTTACATGCATTCGTGAGTAGCAAGCTTTCTATTGGATGATAAAATGGAATGAATCAGTAGGTTTAAGGAGAAAGTAGACTTACCCCTGTCTCCATCGCCTTCCTCCTGCCTTCCCTCACTTTCTCTTTCATTGAATGCCAATTCAGTGACAAGCATTCTTCCTCTGAGTATTCAGCAGTGAGCCAGACAGATACGATTCTTCCTTGTATTCTTTTGTTGGGGGAGATAGACAATAAAATAGCAAAATAGAAGGAAACATAATTTTAGATAGCAATACATGCTCTGAAGGAAACTAAATAGAGAAGTGAACTGAAGAGAGGTGTTGGCACCGGAGATTAGGTAGTCAGTGAACAACATTTTGAAGAGTCAGTGTGGCTTGAGACCATAGAGACAATGAAGAGCTAGACTTGCAAAGATTTGAGCAAAAAAGTTTCAGACAGAAGGAAGACCTGGTGCAGAAGTCCTGCGGCAGAGCTCAGCATGTGCTTTACATCGTTGTGAGGCAGAGCAGCAGTCACTAGCTGGAGCC